GGTGTCTTTGACCTCCACTGCCTCCTGGTAGCTGAGGCCGAGGCTCTGTTTGCCAGGCAGGGAGACTGTCGGACTGGGAGGGGCTCATGGGTGCCCCAGAAGGGTCAGTGCTCGAGTCCAGGGGTCCTGCTGGCATGCTGACATAGAAGCAGTTCCCTGTCCCCATGGCAGAGAAATCAGGAGGCAACATAGAGAGGTCAGGGTTATCTACCCCTCCCTGGAGTTCCCAGCTATGGCAGCCCTCCATAGGCAAACTTAGGGCATGCTGGCCTCTAAAGCCCTTCTCTAGGGAATGCTTCTAGATGGCTTTGTGCTCAGTCTGGTCCGGTTGCAAGGAGATGATGCAGGAGGGAAGTGAAGGGGAGGTACAAGGCTGTGGGTCTTACCCAGGGACGCATGGAGTGACTCCCACCCCTTAGGGGGAAGGTTAAATAGACGTCGGACTAGTTTTAGGCCCTTTTGAGGAAAAACAGGCAGCAGCCCTTTCTCCCTGCCTCAACCCACGCTCTGGTGATGAACTTGGGCAACACTCCACCTCCACTGCTATCTATACTATGACCCATGGAGGGGGTTAGACACAGATGGAAGAGGAACCTGGGTGCCACTCATACCTCCTTCCACAGTGACACTGGTTGGCAGGTGGGGTGAGCACCTGCTCGGAGGTTGAAGACACTAGGTCCTAGGCACCAGGCTTCCCAGCCCTACTTCACACAGCTGAACACAGACTGCCTGACCCTGCTGCCTGGGAAAGAGCCACACAGCTCCAAACAGGTGGCTTCTTTCAGCTGAAGGTTAGGCAAGCCTACATAGGTGGGCCTGCCCCATCTCTAGGCCACATCCTGTTCCTCACCCCCTGCAGATAAGATGGCTGAAGGGTTTGCAGGTGGGGTCTGACTTCTGAGGTCCCGCTATGCCCCACAGGTCCCACTTCAGTCCTGGCCTGTCTCTGGCTCCAAGGAGAAGGTCATTACCCGTAGCCTTTGCTCCACTTTCCACTTCAGGTGGCTCAGGCTCTGACTGGCCACTCTCTGGTAGTGCAGGGACAACCTTGCTGCCTGCCACCTCAGCTGCACCGACACCACCACCACCAGGCAGAGACAGAAAGACCAGGAGAGAAGAGGGGAGGGGAGGGAGGGGATGAGAAGAAGAAAGAAAAGGAGAAAGAAGTGTGGGTGGGGAAGGAGAAAAAGAAAAAAGGAAGAACAAAATGAACACAAGATCATACATGATTATACCCCAGAGAGCTGCAGAGAACTTTCCACCAATTTAGAGAGAGAAAGGGGGAAAGAGAAAGAGAGAGACAGATTGAAGAGAGGAAGGTTAGTTCCCAGAAACCCAGGAAAAGGCAGACTTTGGGCAGAGTGGAGCACCAGGGAAGGACAGGAGACCCCTGCAACATTCCTGTACCCTCCCAACCCACCCTGAGCACCTTCTTGCCCCTCAGACTGGCCTTCTCTCCCCGTCTCTTATGTCTCTGGTGCAGGGCTCTCCCTCAGGCTAACCACCCTAGGCTTTCCTTGTCTCCAAGTCATTAATGGTATTCCCTAATGTGGGATGCCCTCCCTACCACTTGCTCACCCTGCAATACCCCTTCAATCTCCAAGTATTTTCCTAGCCTCTCCAGTCCTGGCTGCTACCTTCCCCTCAATGCTATTTGGAGTGATGGGCTGCAAGCATTTGCCCTAGTCTTTCTGGGTCTGAGCCCCTGAGAAGAGCACCTCTTACTCGTAGGTCTGGGAGATCAGTGAAAAAAACTAACAGAAATTCGTGTTGTTGATTTGTGCCAGGTGACAGAGAATGTCCTTATACACTATTACAGAATAAAGTTCAGAGATGATTCAGAGTTTTGTTTAAGGTCATGAAGATACT